GCCCCCCGCCTCCCCAACATGCAGGCCTCCGATTTTCATTTAGTATTTTTGATAATTAAGAAAGGGCAAAATGTTTGAGCTAAGATGTAATATTTGAATAACAAAATGAATAACAAAACAGTCCTTTTGTGACTAATATAGCCCTCATTCAATGATTTTTAAGGTGAAAAAATGTTGATGGGACATAAAGATAATTTGGTTAAAATTTTCATTTCCTAATTTATAAATGTCCACTGATCTCACCCCTCAACTCAGAGACTCGGCAATGCTATTGAAATTCAAAATGCTCGGCATTATATATCAACTCAATAGTATAATTTCTTTACAGATGGAGCAAGAACGTCAGGCTGCAATAGATAAGCAGAACCTTGTAATTATTGAAAAACTAACAGAAATAAAGAAATCTCCTGGTAGGATTGACCATATTAATAAAACCTGGAAACCAAGGTATTTTAAGTAGTGTTTAAAAAACGAGTAGGAGTGTTTTATCAGGTATAAGCCGTAGCCTCGTGCTTTTATACCTGATAAAACATGATCTATGAGTTTTTTGAACTGCTTTTAACACTCATGAACAATTTATAAGATTTTGGTGACCGCCATAATAATGGTTCAACTGGAGCCACCATACATGTCACGAACAGGGATTTTTATACTTCGATAGAGATTTGACGTCACGGCCATGCGCAACCAGATTCAATAGAAGCTCCCACACGTTGGATATTGCGTGCCCAAGCAAAGACAGGCACATTAGTCAAAGATCATTAGGGTTGACTATGTCCTTGATGAAGCTCTATGTCTTCATCTAAACTTGGATGCATACTTCATCCCTGATGAAGTCATCCTCATATTATTCGAGTGGTCTTTATATAAAGATCACATGTGTCTTTATATAAAGATCACATGTGTCTTTATATAAAGACACATGTGTCTTTATATAAAATCACTTGAATACTAATGAAGAGGACTTTATCGGGTATAAAGGTTCATGCACGTGACGTGTATGGTGGCTCCAATTGGACCATAAGCTTATGAATTATTAAAGAGTGTTTTAATATAATTTACAATATTATGAAAAAATAATCAATTGATAGGAAAAATATTATCAGTAATCACTCCCATTTGAAAAAAAAGAATTGAAGAATAGACCTTTTTGGCTCTGATGTAATGTTTTCTCATTTCAGACCACATACCATTCCCTAGGGTATCATTTCTTTGTTTAGAGTTTGCGCTCGGTTGCACATGAGAAGACACATGAATATGAATACAGCTCAAACAAAGAATCTTATTCTCAAGGGAATGACACGTGGTCTGAAATGGGAAAACATTACCCCAAGCCGAAGAGGTCTATTACCTTCCCAATCAGATTAGAACCTTATCTCTTGATTATTAATATTTATTCGTAAGAGATATAAATTTCTATTCTCAGTACTTTTATGAGTAGCAGGTTAAAACATGATGTCTGAAATTGGAAAGCATCCAGCCAAAATCCTAAGTCCCTACATCTTTGTCAAGTATTTTCAAATACTTTTAAAATGAATAGTTTTATGTTCTTATATAATGAAATATGTACCATACTCTTTTTTAGTAATGATAGGATGAAACGATTTAGAGCAAGGAGACAAAGAAGAATAGAGCAGGAGAATAGGGTAATACTGTTCATCCATCCATCCATCCATCCATCCATCCATCCACCCACCCACCCACCCACCCACCCATCCATCCCATTCCATCCATCCATCCCATCCCATCCATCCATCCATCCACCCACCCACCCACCAATCCATCCATCTATCCATCATCTTATTGCCGATAATTATTATGTTTTGCAGCTCATGGAAGAACGATTAAAGAAAGTACAATCATACTACGATACCGATGATTGGGTATGTACTTTGTATGACGCAAACTGGAATTCCTGTGGAAAAATCTTCCACAGGGATCCCATAATACCTTATGTGTTCTTTAGTAAGTTGAAGAGAGAAATTACTGTATTTTGTATTTTAGGAAAAAGACTACAAGAAGCATTTATACTATATATCAATGATGGAAAATACAACCAAAGATTATGATTCTGTAGAATATAAAGTAAGTATTTCTAGATCTTTGTAGAGTTACACCCCCCCTCTCTACCTCTCTCTCGGAAAATTTACATCTGTTATGCTTTATTAGATAAAATGGAATCTGGAATTTAGGGTATTCAGGAATCCATGAAATTAGTCGGTGGAGCATCTACAGCCTACTTTTTAATGCTGGTTTTCGCGTTGCAATCGGAGTCGGAAGCTAAGTAGTTTATCCGCTCGTCATATAGCATGAGCACAAGCAGAAAAAGTGAACGTTCCCATGTGGTTTTGACTCCGATTAGTGATTCTGTAGCTAATACTAAGGGGGGAAAAAATTTGAAAGTAAAATAAGTATGCTGTGAACTGCAAAATGTCAGAATGGCTGAAAATAAGGCTTGGATATACTTTTTTGAAAAATTACAACAGAAATCGTAGAAGATAAAAAAAATTATTCACTGTGTCACAGCGAAGGGAAAGGAACTCTGAAATAAAATATCTGAGTCCCTGATGAGAATCAAACCCATTGTGCTTTTTTTTCTAGCCAGGTTCACTAGAGAAATCTTGATCGATTTGCTGATAGAACGAGATTCTGGGTTAACTCTCAATTTAATTATCCGTGGGTTTGTTTTTCAGGACATTGAGCCAGAAAAATCTAGTGAGGGGAACAGCGACGAAGACAAAGACGACACAGACAGTCTGCCTCCAGTGCCACCAGTCAGTAACGTAATGGACTACTTCGACGATACGGCGGCCATCTTGGATCACAAGGCATTATGGGGCGTCCAGGGGGCAAATACAAAGCTTTGTTACAATAATGACGTCGATAGATATAAACAGCTCACCACAAGATTATACAACAAAAGATGGATTAAGTCGGCACATCGATCACCTTTACCCATGAAAGATAGACAATCACACGAAGCTCTACATATTTTCTGTCATCTTTGTTTTGCTTTGCCCCCTGGCAAGATGGCCGCCGTATCGTCGAAGTTGTTTATTACGAGCCTCAAAGGGCTAAACTTCGTTGGTTTTTTAAAACAATATTTCAAACGTGAAAGTCCCTAAGCATAAGTTGTATTTTGAATTTAGGGAACACCAGAAAGAGATAAAAAGGACAAAAAAAGTAGTGATGAAGAAGACAACATCAGTTTGCCACCCATCGACAATAAACAAGGAAAGAAAAAAGCTTGTAAAAAAGACGAGGGTTATTCTGAACAAGATGCGATAATGGACGCCGAGGAGCTGCGGGCAGCAATCAAAGGTGAGTATCCTTCAGATGGCTGAGAACCCGTGGAAGATAAACTAGTGACGGTCGACGGACGGAACAACGACCGACCGAATAGCGAACAAACAGTCGAACGAAGGAACGGAACGATGGACTAACGAATGAACGAACAGGACGGACGGACGGACGGACGGACAGATAGATGGACGACTGATGAACGAAGAACATACTGACGGACGTACGGACTAGGGACGGTCAGATAGATCCGAATGAAATAATGAACGAAAGAATAGAATGACATTTTTAACGACTTTATTCAGCTAATTTTATGCTCTTATCGCTTTTAGATGAAAATAAAGAGAAAATCTTAGAAATACTTGGTAGAACATCTGAACGAGAGAAACTGCAAGAGTTGCGTGACAAATACCAGGAAATGTATGGCAAGGTAGGATGTCGTGACAAACTATATCAATCCGAATGACAAAAAAGTTTTGAAACTTACATAGATGGTGATTCTATCTTAAGGCCCTGTCCACACGTATCCGGAAATTTTTGTATTCGCAAATTATTTTTTGCGGATACAAAAATTTCCGGATACGTGTGGACGGGGCCTAAGAAATGGCATATTTTTCACTGCCTCTGGAGGCGTGATAAGTTGTTTTTTCACAAAAATTTCTTTGTCAGTCCTTTGCCAAACAAAAACTTTTCTGAAGACGAGCCTTAATAAATGCGTAACAAAGTACGCGTTACATTTGTTTCGTGTATTATAGGACCTACTGGAAGATGTTAAACCTTATCTTGATGAAGATGCTCAAGGTGTTCTTCAGTCCTTGTCATCTTCTGCAGCTGAGGAGGATGCAAAGAGATTAAATGAGGCAATAAAGGTATTAAAACAGAGCGTATATGAAGTCGCACTCGCTACCTCACTTAACGGAGGCTGTGAGCGCGCGGTGCGAGAAGCTTCATTTGTGAATGTTGTTAACTAAATATTTCTCGTTATTCTTTTTCTAAGGGTCTTGGCACAGACGAGGATACGATAATCGAGATTTTATGTACACGAAATAACAAGGCAAGTTGTAGCTTCATAGATGGGCTCTATAGAAGCATGATTGACTAGGAATGAGATTATTCGGCTGCAAGAAAATATTAAGTACTTCATATTCTCTTGTCGGCTGTGGTACTCTAGTGCATTAATGACATACAAACTCAATCCATGCATCTACTCGTCAGAAACGCGAGGTACTGAAACAGATTATCATGTTGTGACGTCAAAAAAGCTCTCCCTATACTATGCGCATGTCCAACATCTAACTTGCGCCTCCCACATGGTTTGAAGTGCCTTCAGGAGCTTAGTTACCAAAGAGACAAACTGAAAATCGCTGTTCATAGCAAGGACCCCCCCTTGCTAAAGACCACCATGCTGTCCCTTTTGCACATCTTGGGACACTGGTGCGAAGCTAAAACAAAAAGGGGTTAATCATCTACGGTCTAGGGGCCGACTAACCTCTCCCTTAGGCTTCGGCCGAGCTTCCTGATCAGTCACTGGATAGCGGTGTCGGGGTCGAAATCTCCGGCATAGCCGTAAATGCTTCGCGCTGCCATACTGCGCTTCGGCACTCGATGTCTGGAGGTATGGTCCCAAATAAACATGAATCAAAATAACGTGGAATTACCGGGTTACCTGTGGTAAACAGGTCATAAAATACATTTGTTTTTTTCAATGAAAAAATACAGATAGTTACGTAAACTTCAATAGTTATAGACCATGTGGAGCCACTCTTGGGAAATCACTCTTTCATATGGAAATATTTTAAGATTTTCATCATAAAGAATAATTCTTAGGGAATGTCACGTGGTCTGAAATAGGCAATTTGCATACGAAAGTTAAAGTCTATTAAATTCTGCACGTTTTCAAATCAGGAAGAAAGACAAAAGGAAAGAGAGATACCGTACTCGCCTGAACTCAATAGATGCTTTACACAAATAAACTAAACTAACTAATAAAACAAAATCTTGTCCCTCTTTTTTTCGCCTGCTAGGAACTGGAAGCCATTAGAGAAGAGTACCATAAACGTAAGTGTCTGAGATTCTTTAATGCTATAGTTGAAACAACATGGAATCATGGAAGGGTTAGGTGTTAAACTCTGCACTGTTGATTCTCATTATCCTAGACGTGCGCAGGAAGCTGTTGTGCACCTTTGATCATCACACACAAAACTTTCCCTAGAACTGTTATTTTTCTAATAAACGTTGAAGTAAATTTCCCGCGCAACACGATCACATGATCAATTGACATCACGCACGTGACTGACATGCGCAACCAAACTGCGCAATTAATGAACTGCACAGTGATCACGTGATATGTTTCTCGTCAGAATTCCATCGATCTCTGGAGGATGATCTTAGAGGAGACACAAGTGGCGACGTGGAAAAGATTCTTGTTGAGTTGAGCAAGGTAAGCAAGCCAACGGATCAATGCGCATGCGTGTTATTGATTAATATGTTATGGGATGCGACACTAGAGAAAAACGTTTGCGCATGCGCGTATTTCAGCACGTTTTCTAAGAATTTAGAAGAGTTTGAGTGAGAAAATAAATGTTTATTTTCTCCGAGCATACAAAAAATTCCGCGAGTATGCTTTTATGAGAGCAAGATACTGTATTAACAAACACAATATGAAAAAATTGGCCTTAAGTTTCAAGCGTGGACACAACGCTTTGGCATTTTATGTAGTCCAATTTACAGGCACGTTTGAAGGTTAAATTTACATATTTTTGCAATAGCATGAAGACGTTTTTCTGACTAATTTGCATACGGATTTAGAGCGTGCGAAGACGTTTTTCATTCGTGTCATGGGATGCACATGGGATATCTTTAGTGTAGAAATACCATCGTTTTTTTTTTTTGTGGTCAAAAATTATAAATCACATATTCTACAAGTAAAGGTGTATTCATTTGAAATCATTTATGGTCTAACCACATTTCCTTATTGTTGAAAATCAATGAGAAATTGTACAACTATTTTTTGTCTAGGGTCAAAGAGAAGAAGCAGAAGGAGTAGATAAAAATATGGCGAAAAGAGACGCAGAAGACTTGATGGAAGTAAGATTTTACCAGCGCATTCATTATAAAGTTTCTAGAATCCAGAACAATCTGGTATTATTGCTAACACTCTACTAGCATTATTATTACCATTTATTGGTCACTAAGGTTCGACGCAGCTACCATTTATTTCCAGTTCCTGGCAATGTGCTATAGTGTGGTATGTGTTTGTTGTTTCAGGCTGGTGTTGGGAGTTGGGGAACAGACGAGGGAGAATTCATACGTATCTTCACACAGAGAAGTCTGCCACAACTTGCTGCCATGTATCCTGAGTATCGGAAAGTAAGTGAATGTTAGACGTGTGTTAGCGATGAGGGGAGGAAAGGGAGGGAGGGGAAAGAAAATGAGGCATAACGAAGAGAACTAATTTTATTTGGATCTAGCCTGCGTAGCGGCTCTTAGGAGGGGGATTGGGGATAAGGAAGGAAAGGGGATTGGGGATTGGGGAAGAGGGAGAAGGAGAGATCTCCCGTCCCCAATCCTCCTCCCCTTCCCTCATCCCCATTCGCTCCGAAGAGCCGCTACGCAGGCTAATTTGGATCTTAAGTTGACGTACACCGTTCAGTATAAATGACAAAACTCCGATTTAAATTGTCTGTATGCCTGTCAGTCTTTCTGTCTGTCTGTTTGTTTGTTTGTTTGTTTGTTTGTCTGTTTGTTTGTTTGTTTGTTTGTTTGTCTGTTTGCAGTCTATACTAGATAGAAAATGTGCATGTCTTGTCTTGCTAATCAAATATCATATCATACAAGTTTAATATGGTACTCATTAGTTCATAAATCATAAATCAAATAATAATACTCAGTTTTTCTATCGGGTGAAGAGCCAATTGCAACCTCGAACCGATCAGCCCAACATATGAACTATCTGCGGTGGTTTGGTTTGGTTTTGGTTTCAGTCTCGTCTAGGTTGTTTCCTCATCGATGTTCTACGAATTCTAACCTTGTTGATTTTTGTTTTGATAGTTAGCAAAAATGGACATCGAAGAATCGATTGACAAAGAAATGGATGGAGATTTACAGAAAACTTTCTTAGCCCTCGGTAAACACGTTTTTCTTAAATTAACCAAGTCTGCCCTTTTATATGATATTCGTTTTTCAAACCCAAACGCAAAGTGAAACAGTCGAAGTCACGTGATGGCAGTCATGACAGGAGTCAGGAGCAATTAAATCTGGTCTAATCTGATTTACGTTAATTGTGCCTCCTCTCATGGCTGCCATCACGTGATCCAGGAAATAGACCCATTTCGAGTTCCAAATTACTGCTGTGTTTCTTGATTACAGACTCATTTGCACAGGGTTAGCCTCGAGTTTGTGAAGAATATTCACGTGTTCCTGTCAAGTTCCGTCGAGTTTCAAAGTGTTTGTATTGTTGAAGTTGTGTACTCTTTACTTTACCGTTGGTATTTGTGAATATTTAAACACTGATGCGAGGCTAAGCCTGAGTAAATGAGTCTGTAAAGGAACACAGTGGTAATTTGGAATTCCAAACTGGTCTGTTTGGAACCTAAGCGCGGCCGCAAAGCACCCAACTTTAACATGTCCAAGGGAATATACTATTCACAAATTGCCCCTTTTAATTTAATATTTGTAGTCAAACATTCCCGAAATCCATCGGGGGCACAAGCTGACAAGATAACCAAGGCGATAAAAGATGGCGACACTGAAGCTGTTGCACGGATTATTTTACCTATGAATAAGGTAACACTCCTTACTTACTCGGTTTTTATTGAATTTGATAATATTTTTGACCTGCCAAATAGACTTTCTTGGGCGTAATATTTTCCCATTTCAGACCACGTGTCATTACGCTCAATGTAAAGAGATCTATTGAGAAAAAAAGAGCAAACAGTTTTGCCAAAATGACCGGTATGACAAAGATTTGACCAGACAAGGTTCCAAATTTTGCCGGACATTGTCTGATGGCATACCGATATTTTTTGCCCTGAGTATTTACTCAGTACGACCCTCCCCTTTGATGCCCCAGTCCTCCCTGTCCAATAAAAAACGTACCTCGGTATTTTAATAGGAATAGTCCCCTTCACAGTTCCCTGCGCCATCTTGAAAGGTAGCTGTGCCTTTGCATCGAAGCGAGACGAACGGTGAGCTTGCAATGATAGAGACAGGTTATTTTGAAAATCCTGACGTAAATGGTTTTTATTCCAGGCACAGTTAGAAAAGTTGTGTTCAGCGTACAAGAAAATTAACAAGGTCGATTTCGCTGATGACATTGAAAAGAAATGCAGCGGAGATCTGAAGCAAATGCTTCTTGCAAAACTTGGCAAAGGTTAGAAATACTTTATATCTATTAGAATTCGCCTTAGTCACTTGAGAAATTCGTATGTTAGTATTCTGTGCCGATGTCAATGAGCTGAGCGTTGTGTGCATAGAATATTGAATGTAGTGATTGTGCGTGTGAGTGAAAAAGTGTCCCCTATAGTCCCCTTCACAGTTCCCTGTGCCATCTTGAAAAGTAGCCTTGCCTTTGCATCGAAGCGAGGAGAACGGTGAGCTTGCAACGATAGAGACCTTTTTTAACACCTTGGACAGTTATTCACATGTGAAGGGGACTATTAGTGCAAAAGCGCTAGAACGACTAGACACTTAAATAAAAAAGTGATTTTTAATGCAAATTATTCACACATTATATGAAAGATAGTATAAGATCAATGATTGTGTGTTTCCTTGTAACTTCAGTACTTCCTTCCTCCTCTCTTCCGTCCTTCTATCCTTTTATTATTCACTTTTTTAATCGTAAAATAATATCTTTTCTTTAATAGAAGCAGGGGGAAAGAAAAAAGATAAGGAAAAGGTAGATTTAAATTAAAATCGAAAAAAAAAAAAAGATATTCATATTACATAAATTATGGATGTAAAATATCAGGCCTATATTCCCATAACAATATATTTTAAAGCAACGATACGAGAAACAATGACTCCCTAGTCCCTCTTCAAGCACCGCCCTTGTCTATAGTATTCTATTTGCAGTACAATCTCAAACCAACTAGAAACAGGAAAGCAATAGTTCAGAAGGGTTGGCTTGAACTATGGAGTTGCTGTGGATCTGGCGGGAACTTTCGCGCTAAACACCTGCACATCACCCTCGCCCCGATTATTGTGCTCACAAACAGGAAACTGGAAAGCCATGATTTAGAGAGAGAGGGTTTATACCATGAAGCTGCTATAGATTTGGCGGGAACTTTCGCGCCAAAATTCGCGCGTTCATCCCCAACCCTGGCCCAAACTTTGCGACTCTCGAAAACTTTCCCTGCTGCTGAAGTTCACGCTTTCCTAGCTTTAAAATATTTGAAAATATATTCTCGCAGGGCAAAAAAGACAACCAAAGAAAAAGCAAAGAAGGAGAGAAATTACCAGCAATAGGAAAGAAGAAAGAACAGGAAAAGAAAAGTGAAAAGAAACAAGAGAAGAAATCCGAGCCAGTGAAAGAAGAGAAGGATGTCAGCCAGAAGGACATCGATGAGTTACACCAAGCTATACAAGGTAATGAGCTATGGCTAGCAATAGAGAAAATCGCCCCACCCTACTCTAGAGGAAAGGGAGTCAAAACAATGGACAGTAAGGGGTACCGGAAAGTGCGTATGCCCTCTCAACGTTACACCCGCCTTGAAATTCGTATTTTCTTGAGTGACTATCCCTCTATATAGAAATACGTTGGTAGCCTGACTTAACGAGATATTAAAGTCGATCATTATTGCAATTGACTTTATAATCAGTTTTGGAGAATAACTCAGGATAATCCAGTCTTATGACAAATGTGATGAGAAAGGTTCATTATCAATATGTTTATTGCTCTGTATTTCTAGATGGTCCCCCTGCGCTGCATGACGACTAATTTTGTTCTTCCTTTATACATTGCAGACAAGAACAAGGACAATATAATTGCTATCTTATCAAAAAATGTTAACGATGACAAGAAAATACAAAAACTCCAAGACAAATACCAGAAGGAATACGAACAAGTGAGGCTTTTAAAAAATAGTGATCTTGACACTTCGAAAATGTGCTGCGCATGCGCCACCTCTCACCAATGCGACCCGTGCTTATTCTCGTACCCAGACCCTTTATTTTTTACTGCGCATGCTCGACGGAAAAATATTTCGTTTTCGTTGTTCATCGAGCATGCGCAGTAAGAAATAAAGACTCTGGGTGTATTTATAGATACTCGTGATGTTTTGAAAGTTCTCAAATTAGACGTGTCAAAACATCACCACAAATTCCGGATTGTTCTCGAGGTCGTGCGATTTCCTATATTAACAACCCCGGACTTCAATTTCCGGATTCCTTGCTATCAAAGATAGCAAGCTTATTCTCTGACAAACTATTTTATTCTCTAGGGATTATTAGATGCTATAAAGTCTGTCGTGGATGACGAGGATCTTCAGGAACCTCTGGAGTGTTTGTTTGGTTCAGCACCTGAGTACGAAGCAAAATGTCTCTACGAAGCAACTAAAGTATGTAAGACCCTATAATATTCAATCGTCCAAATGAGGAGTGTTATGATCTTGACGCACTATTACTACGCGTTTAAATAGACGTGGATACACCCCTTTGAAAATTACATTGAATACAAGTCTAACAGGAAAAAAATCACAAATTTTTCTCTCGATAAACTTTGTAAACGTTTTTTATTCCAATCCAGTGAGAAGTGATAAGAAGTCGCCAGGGTCGTCTGTCGCGCAAGGGCATCCTGATATTACTACTAAACGCGCTAGATTAATGAAAGCCTAAGACCCTGTCCAAACACATACGTTTTCGTTCGTAAACACATACTTTATGATGCGTTTAACCCTTTCTTCCACACGTAACAACATGTTTGTACCTTATTTCAGGGTATCGGCACAGATGAAGATATGCTACTCGAAATTCTTTGTACAAGAAGCGCATCAGTAAGTGTACCTGTATGACTCTCTATTAGAGAGTTTTAGATTTACGTTCACGGCAAACGTGAAGCGTCAGTTGACCAGTGAAAAATTATTTTAAATAGCTGAGAAAAAATCGCAAAAAAGTTCAAGTAGTAGAAAAACAAAAGAATATTTGTCTTTGGTTAGAAAGTCTGCAAGAGGTTAAGTAAAATACAGGAAAACGATGAAAACGTGGTCACGTTTGCCGTTTGCGGGGAGAAAAAAAATCAATCTAAAACTCTCTATTAACCGGGTTAATAACTAACTATATATTGACCTCGCATTTATAATGAGGGCTATAACAAAAATAAAGCCTTGTGAATAACAAAGAAAACCGTGTCAATTGAGAAATAATAGACAGTTAATACCTTATGAACTATATGTTTCTTGACCTTAAAGGACTTGCACACTCAGAGAGAACATGTTTCATGTCTGTAAAAAAACACGCGGATAAGTAGGTGTCGCACGGTAACCTCAGCAGTGTTGTGATGTGCTCTTGCTTTCTCTCGGTCATTCTGATTCAATGATTAGCGCAGATTTGGTATTCGGGTGAAAACGCACGGTAACTGCTTGCCTTGGGGTGCCGTGATCGTGACTGTGTCCTGTCTGAGCGTTCTCACTGTTTTCATTGGATAGTTAGCGATCTCGTGCTCTGTGATTGGTTCTAAGGATGTCGTCCATCCCATACCGTGACGGTGCTGCGTGCCGTGGAATACAACAGTCTCTGCACAATGAAACGAAGAACTAATAAAAGTTATATATATATATATTTAATTACCGCAATTTTCTTTACAGCAACTAGCGGACATCCAAGAAGCATACAGGAAAAGTAAGTATGTACGACTTATAGAATCAGACCGGTAGTCGTTTTGGTATGTTTTGCCCTTAATCTACCATTATTGACTCTATCATGTTTGAATACAGGGTACGGCACTAGCCTTGAGGAAGATATCAAGAGCGACACAAGTGGAGACTTTGAAGATCTGCTATTGGAACTGCTGAAGGTATGAAAAACTGCTGTAATCATGATACATGCTATTAGTAATCGATTGTATTAATGATAAATGTGATTTGATGATATCGTAATGATGTATTGTTGATAAAGAACAAGGATTGCTGTTCTTAAAGTATTACCTGGCATGAGTAACATGGGTCAGTATACTAACACGTCGTCTTTCACCGCTGCGAGTCCAACATTCCGGGTTGAGTTCGTTTGATGTGTTGTTCTCTCCCATGCTATGAGGGTTTTCTCCGGTTTCTCCGGTTTCCTCCCTCCGTAAACATCAACATGTCATTTGAGCGCTGTGTGCATAGAACATCGAATGAAATGGTAGATTGTGTGAGTGAAAAGTGTCCCGCCCAATTAGTGCGAAAGCGCATTTATATTTGAGCACTAGTCTGTAAGAAAGTATAATTTTATATAATTCCATGTCGTAAACTGTTTTGTTGTAGGGAAGTCGTGACGAATCAGATAAAGTTGACAAAGCACAATCCAAGAAAGATGCTGAAGCATTATACCAGGTTAGGATGTGATGATATCTAGACCTTGCGCGAAAAAAGGGCTTCAATTTTAGAAACTTCTCTCTCCAATGCAAATAGACCCTTATAAGCTTGTGCGTGATCAAGTAATGTTGTCCCATTTCACACCACGTGTCATTCCCTAAAGTATCATTTCTTAGTTTAACGGTTGCGCACGAGAAGGCACATGAATATGGAATAAGACAACTTGAACAAAGAATCTTATTGTCAAGAGATTTTGAATGCGAGGCCGCGCGGGGGAAATCTGTTGTTTAAGTCATTATGGCTGCTGCGTTGTCTATACTGTAATTGACCGCGTTGTCTATACTCTAATTGACCTCGTTGTCTATATATTCTAATTGACATCGGTGTCTCTACTCTAATTGACCGCGTTGTGTATACTCTAATTGACTGCGTTGTCTATACTCTAATTGACCGCGTTGTCTAT